AAGACTCATACTTCATATTATGCAAGAAATAAAACACTGCACCAAGAGCTGGAATATCATCTTATACAAAAGGTGTATAGAAATGATTGTATACAAAATGCAACTTGATTGCTTTATGCACTGAAGTTATTCAGCACTTAGGATCAATTCTCTGATGATTAAGCAGACTATGTTCACTCAAGTAAAAAAAAAAAGGCTTGAGGGAGGGATTTTTTTCCCTGCCACAGCGGCAGTATCACACAGGGGGTCATTAAATTCTTTAGTCAGCCCAGTAAAAATTCCTCTGGTAGGTACACTGCATTGGACAGCCAGGCCCCATCACAAGACTTGGTGTAGGAAGCATGCCAGAGGCAGGAGCAAAGTCCCTGTAATCATGCAGCTACAGAAATTTTCAGGAGCTACAGTCTGCAAATCAGTTCAGGGAGAGGGTACTATACCTTATAAGAGCCACTGCTCTAAATTACTCAGGGAGCCATGGGAGGGCAGTTTAAAATCACCCTTAAGACCTTTCCCTTTCCCTTACTCAACAAAGCCTTCCATGCTACACTTCTTGGTGTAGTAGCAGCAGCGAAACTCAAGAATCTTTTTCTCCATTTAAAAGTCTAGAATTAGATGTGCCACTCTCCAATGATTTTTTGGCATATAGTGTAGTGTAGTGATAAAGAGCTCTTCCAGATTTTAAATATTTATTTAAAAAGTCATTGCCTATTTTGTTAAGAAATCAAACTGAGAAGACACCCACCAGTTTAAATCTGGTAATATTGTTCTGTTCTTTTAGGGGCAACTAGCAAGGCATGAGTTTACTCAAACTGTTCCCAGAAATGCTGCAGTACTGAAGACATTTCTAGATGATGCTTTTGACAAACAAGTAAGTTAACAATCTATTGCCAGGTTGATTTGTGTTCCACGAGAAAAAGGAGGGAAATGTACCATTCAACAAACAGGAAAGGTCAAAACACATACAAGAAGAAATATTATTCTCAAAGTGCTAAGGGAGCTGTTACATACAATGGAAAGTAAAACCTTAAACACCAAATTACAAAGTACTTGGCCAAGTCCCTTTATTCTGACAAAAACAAGAGGCAAAAATGGGGAAAGAGAAAATGATGAATTTCAAAGGAATCAGCACAAGGAACCATTGTATAAATGCAGTCCACAAGATGCAGGGACAGGACTACTGCACAGAATTTCTCAGGGTCTTCACAAATATCCAGCATGCCTTGTATTCGGTGTCATTACATGTGTGAAAGCCCAAAGGAGCTTACTGCTACCAATTTATCTGCCCATGTAATACTTTCTGCCGGTACTTCTCATTGTGAGTTCGAAGCATTGGAACCATCAACATTTAGGTGCACCCAAGTGCAGCATCTGGAATAGCTGGATAGAAAATGCCAGCTGGCAGGGCAGAGACCTGGCATGTTAATGCTATTCATTGCAATTCATGGCACTCTATTAATGAAACAGCAAAGATGAAAAAGAGAAGTGAGAAAAAAGGGTGATTAAAAAGCTCAAACATCCCAGAACTAAATAGAACACACCACTACAAAACCATGTGCTCATTTGTTCATCCAAATTAGGACCACCTATACACATACAATTGTGAAGATCAATGGCAACAAAGCATTTATTTTGTTCTATTTTCTTTATGTATCTAGTGCTCTAACAGCTCTTTCTTGTCTATTATGGAGCTGCTACTGAACTGTAAATTGATATTGAATGAATCCATTGTTGTTGTTTTTCACTTTTGGGAGCTACAAAGGTGAGGTGTGTCAGCAACAGAACCTAAATGGAGAGATAATAAACTGTAAGATGGCTCCTAAAGCACAGCTTGACCATCACAAATCTGTTCAGAGTGGCCTACAGAATAACTGAAATATTTTCTCTGACTACTGGTGATCCTATGCCCATATGTACACCACTAACAAATACAGAGGACTGAGAGTTATTTTATATTTTATTTCCATTTTATAGCCAAGAGCTGTAATTTCCTTGAAATCTACTGCTTCTCATGGCCTACTTCTTCCTACATGGTCAATCATGCCTTGTAACAATGCCTCAGGGATGCTGTAACTCACCAAAATCTTGTCATGTTTTATCAAATCATGTATATAGAGCTATATATTTATAGAACATTGGCATATACAATAATAAAAATAACTAATGTTAAGTAGCAAAATTGTTTTTATCATTAAAAATATTTTCTGCCCCCTCAGTTTTATTTTAAAATGGGACAGGGTCGCACTCACAATGGAACAACCCAAGCACTGCTACATTCTATAGCAAGACAATCTCTATATTGGCAGATTTAGAGGGCTAACAATAGTCTACCAGTTCATCAGTTTCAATGGTTGATCATTCCTAAATTCTTTACAATTTTAACACTATAGCTTGTAGGAAAATACCCACAGTAAATATGTTTTAATAAATTAAAATAATTTGGAATTGAGTGTAAGTGGGTTCCCAGCCCACACAAGAACTTGGGCACTGCCCAATTCATGCACTGAAGTGCAATGCCGAGATGGACACCAAACCCTCATAGGTTCTCTACATGTGTAAAATTAAACTGATGCCCAGTCTGCTTGCTGCTGCTAACTGTCCAGAATCAAGGATCCAATGGCACATTAGAAAGAATAAGCCCTATGAGGGTCCTAACCCAGCATTCCCTCCCCCTGGGTATGTCTATACTACCACCCTAGTTCGAACTAGGGTGGTTAATGTAGTCAATCGAAGTTGCAAATGAAGCCCGGGATTTAAATATCCAAGGCTTCATTTGCATCTTGCCGGACGCCGCCATTTTTAAATTCCCGTTAGTGCGGACTCCGTGCCCGCGGTTACACGCAGTACGGAGTAGGCAATTCGAATTAGGCTTTCTAATTTGAACTACCGTTACTCTTCGTGGAACGAGGTGTACCGGTAGTTCAAATTAGAAAGCCTAATTCGAATTGCCTACTCCGTACTGCGTGTAACCGCGGGCACGGAGTCCGCACTAACGGGAATTTAAAAATGGCGGCGTCCGGCAAGATGCAAATGAAGCCTTGGATATTTAAATCCCGGGCTTCATTTGCAACTTCGAATGATTACATTAACCACCCTAGTTTGAACTAGGGTGGTAGTGTAGACATACCCTCAGTGAGGCAGGTTCTGATATTCCAGGCTGTCAGAGAGTCATTGTAGAGAATAAATATATGCTCTGTTTATCTACGTAAATCAATATTTCCCCAGGATGTTACACATTGTTTGTGAAGTGTGTTGGCACACCTCAATGATTAAAAGGCACTGTGGACAGCCAAGTTCTGCTCTGTCTTCAGTGCTGGGGTTTAGTTTCATCATACAGTAACTGCTTCCTACAGAGTTCTCAGAGTGTACTTTACAGAGGCACAATGGTGTCATTCTAGTCAAAGCATCATTTTCCAGCTGCAGGAGAAAAATAGAAGGCCAGATCATCATGTGGGAATCCAGCTCCCTTAAACTGTATGAATGGCACAAAGGAGGCAAAATCTGGCCACAGATGCCAAGCTGAAAACTCCCACTGCAAAGGGGAACTCTTAAGTGATGTAAAGAGGCAGCTGCTATGTTGACCATTCTCCCAGTTCTCAGGGCACATTATGGGAGGAGAAAATCAGTTCCTAAGAGGGGGAGCTCAATTCTGCTGAAGTAATTTGCAACCACTGTATGATTTCCTATGGACCGCAACCAGTTACCAAAAGTGAGAGCAGCTATTAAACTGTTCTGACTGATTTCTTGGTGGGAGTCAGGGAAGCTTGAGAATCAGGGAATTATAACTGGCTCTCGGATCATCTTGACCCCATGCCCCAAGCACAGGACAGAATTTAGCCCAAGGTTTCAATCTCACTTCTTCTATTCCTAACATACTGAATACACAGCCAAAAGCTAAAAAGGATACTAGCATTTTTAAGTGTGAATATACAGCAGTGTTACTGCATGCCTTTCTTCACAGCTGGGAAATAATGACAGACTTCAGTGACAGCACAAAAAGAGGTTGTGTTTAAGGAAGTTTCACACACACAGAGAAATGTTACTTTGCTTTCTTGCCCTTGCATGTATACACTGGCCCTCAATGGAAACCAGTGGAGGAGTATCCAAGGGAAGAACTGAGCCTTTATCTTTTGTTTTTAAATTTAGAAAGATAAAGTGAAAAGAGAAAATAAAACAAAATATGTTTCATGTCACCATTGATCTGTAGATTACAAATATAATTTTCTTTCAGAGGAAGAAGCACAGAACAATATTTTGCTCACATTGAATAGAGCTTTGAAAACAAAACAAAAAATGAAAAGGCTTATTATTCAGCTCCCCCTCATCTGCCAAAACAAAAAAATGATTTGTTTAAAAAAGTGGAGAGAAAAATTCACCAGAATCACATCAATTTCATTCACACAATTGCTATTAAAGGAAGAAAAACTTATCCAAAGAATGACCAACCATTAAAAACCTACACCTTGTGAATGCAAGTGAAAAGAGAGACAAAACTAGATTTTCAATTAGTGTTGGAATTGTTATGCCAGGATTGAGTCTTGACAATTCTTGCAGGGTTGGTCAGACTAAGGGAAAGTGTAAGCCCCCTTACTTCTGACAGCTGGATTTCATAAGTGATAGAAAACCTTAATGTAAACACTCTGGCTGTATCTACATTGGCACGATCTCACGCAAAAGCGGCCGCTCTTGCACAAAAACTTGCTGCCTGTCTACACTGGCCGCGTGTTCTTGCGCAAGTAAACTGACATTCTAATGTATGAAATCAGGGCTTCTTGCGCCAGAACTCTGACGCTCCCGCTCAGGAATAAGCCCTTTTGCGCAACTGCTCTTGCGCAAGAGGCCAGTGTAGACAGGTAACATGAATTTCGTGCGCAAGAAAGCCCTATGGCTAAAATGGCCATCAGAACTCTCTTGTGCAACAGAGCATCTACACTGGCATGGATGCTCTTGTGCAAAAGCACATCTCTTGCGCAAAAACACATGCCAGTATAGATGCTCTCTTCTGGAAGAGTTTTTGCAGAAGGACTCTTCTGCAAAAGAGTTTTTGCGTGAGAACGCACCAGTGTAGACGTAGCCTCTTTGTATATATGAGTATGTTTGGGGATATGGGTGTGGGTGTGAAGGTTTCCTATGTTTGGTGGTGGTGTTCTTTGGGTCAGGAAAGTAAGGAGCAGAACAAAGAAACCATGGCTTGCCTGACAACAGTTAAGCAATGCATGTTTGTAATGCTATGGCAAGCAATGAGAGGTTAATGATTTATGTTTGTTTTATTTTGAATAGGATAATCTCTCTTTAAAGGCTTTGTTCCAAGCCCCTCTTTGAATCTGCACATCTAAATTTTCAGGCAGAGGTGTTTTCATTGTATTTTATTATTTTTAAAATGTCTAATGTGGTACTCATCCTCTTGCTAATATCAACAAGCCTAGATGAACAGCTGATGCTTTCAATTTCGTTTCTTTAACTATAAGAGTCAGTAAGTCAAAGTGGCAAGGCTAGTAAGTCAGTCAACCACAACTACATCCATCATACTCTGATCTCTTCCTATCTTAAAAACACAATTTGACAGAAGCCCCCAGTGGATAATTATAGGCTGGATTCAGACCTGAGCAGAATCAGTCTGTCATCATCAGCAGAGTGGTGACATGTGACATCTTTTTGGCTACTGTGTGGCCTGTCAGAAGACACCACAAAATGTCACACAGCAACTCCCTTCTATTAAAATATCATTTCATGAGAACACCTTTAAGATCTATTTAATGACAATTAAGAAGCTAGCTCTTGTCATTGCTGTAAAGCTAGCTAGACCCAGCACCCCATAGAACAGGGCGGTAGAAATAATTTGTTCCAAAAGAGAAAAAATCTCCCTGGCAATTAAACACTGAGAATTCAACTTCTGAGGGAGACGTAGGTGAGGACTTAGCAGGTTCATAAGTCATTTTTTTCAAAGGGCATCCAGAGTTCCTCAACATCTTGCCTATCATCTGTCTATTTGTGAAGAATTAATACAGAGATAATAGATATTTAATTGGTGACAAATGAGAAGGATTGGAGAGAAAGGAATGTAGGGCACTGTAGGAATAGAGGAAGGGGTTGGTTGGTTTATTAATGTCCACGTTAATTTGGTTTTTTTCCTCCCTTTCTTTTCCTATTTTTTTAAAATAAATTGTACAGATGAACATGGGAGAAGTTCATGCTACTTGCTGGAAGCAGTAAGGGTACATTTCTGTGGCCCATGGATTCCACAGACCTTTGAGTGTTCCACCTCATCCCGAATGGACCATCACATGGGAACACCACAGTTCCGTGGCAAGACTCATTAGCCCTTAGAAACTGGTGGCATGTCCTCAGATATTTTGCATGAGAGTGAGAGAGACATTGATTCCATCAGCTTCTTCCTCTCAGCCTGAGTGTCTCAGGGTCAGCCTTGTTATTTCCTAGGATTCTCTTCCTCTTCATGGATATCAGACTGCAGTTTCCAGGTCTTCATGGGAAACCATCTGGTAGTTCTGACGACTTTCTAGGTAGGAAGCCAAATCTAAGTCCCCAGCTTGCTGAGCCTTGTCTCTAGGTGTCTGACCCTACAATGAAGGGACACAGATAGAAAGTCTCACACAAATATTTTTAGAAGACAAGATGAATTTATGTTTCACAGAAGTTAACACTAGAAGTACAGAAAGAAAATTGAGAACCAGAAAAGTAGAGACACAACTTGGCTCATGCCAAGTTAAAGTTCTCCATGAAAATGTTTTTATTCTCTGTGTGTCTCCTCAGACTAGTAAGTGCCTTGCTGCCAGGCTTCCTTCTACTTAAACTCTTTACCAGATTTAGAGTAACTCAACTTTACAAGACACTATGTGGTTTGCACTGGCTGACAAAAAACATATAGACACCAAAATTGATTGAGCAGAGTTCCTCTCCAATGCCTGTGTACACTGCATATGTGCATGCTGAATAGTACTGTAGTTGAGGCATAAAAAGAAACCCACCCAGGTCATAGGCAACACTACTAGAAGCTTCCAACATCTGAGTCTATAGGCGCTGTGTTGAGCTGACTTCAGTTGATAATCACTCTTTAGTGTATCTTACTGTTGCCATGTTATTTTAAAGTTGTTATAACCTAAAACCAGGAATCTGGATAGTCAAATTTTGAAAAATAGTGAAAATACACCAACAAATGTCAGAACATCCTACCCTTTACACCTCTGGGGTGATAAAGACAGATATCAGGCTAGTCAGTGTCTACTTGTCTGTATTTCAGCCATTGCTGACAGTATTATTCAGTAAACTACTGTTGTCCACAGTATTATGATCCAAAAGTAACAGGTGACCCTTCTCTTCAAACAGATTACTTTGCACTGCAAAATACAATAATAGCGTCTTTCAAACTTCATGTATCAACAAACCTTAGATTCTCGATTCTTGTAGTCTAGCTGCCTTTTTAATCAGACCTTTCAACCACTGCCCACAGATTGTCTGCTGTTACCAAATTCCTGCCAGAAGAGCAGCTTAAAGAGGCACCTTCAAAAGTGGGTCGGATGGGGTGACAAGAAACCCTGGTACTCTATATAATGTGGTGTAATGTGGGCATCCCTAACCACGCTTACCTTTATTTATATTTGTGAAACCCTTGTGGATATTCAGTCAGATTGCCACAATGGTTGAATTTTATAATGTCTAATTCAGTGGCATGGTCAGCATGGGACAAGTGGGTGGGCCCTGACTTTGGCTGGGTGGGCAATCACTGGAGGGGTGGTAGTGATGGGGCTGCCTCTCCTTCAGTTAGCCTTGAAAGAAGTGGAGGATAGATGCTCTGGTCTGTAAAAATTAGAGCCCCCATAAAAATGTGCACCCTGAACCTTACAACCACTTTGCCCCCCCTCCCCTCCCACTTGCTCTGCCTGCCGGGAAAGAGAGTCGGGGTAGTGGCTTTCCTCTGTCTGCCTGTTCAGCACGGAGTGGGGTTGGAGTGCCTGGGCTTACTCTACTCCACCACCTGGTACGCCCAGTGGAAGCAGAGGCAAGGCTGAGAATGGGTGGACCTGTATGCTAAGTGAGTGGGCCCTGACTCACCCATGGCTGCATCCCTGGCCTAATGTTGCCCATATGTGTTTTTTCATGCTCAGACAGGCTCATTAGATCTGTTCAATTTTGAGTTGACACTAAGAGGGTGGGGAGATTGTGGTTGGCCCTGAATGACAGGATAAATTAGAAAGTAGAAACTAAGAAAGGGATTGGCCATCTCCATACCTCATAGTCACTGTCGAGTCAAACTGGGATTCCTAATTAGTGATTGCTGCAGCCAACACAGAGATGGTAATATTCTGGCCTCCATTTGAGAAAACAGTTTTGGACAGGTTATTGCTATGGCAAAGATGACCCAGGTGGGGGATTTCACAGGGGTCTCTTGTGTTTGTTTATAGCAAGACACTTTTCTAAATAAAAAGTCCTGTTTGAAAAAAAGCCTCTTGGAACATATAGGCCCTCAATCTTGCAGGCATCAGGGACAGCTGCTGATTGGATTTGCTTGTCTAAAGTGTTTTATAATTGGTTCATTTGGTTTGGTTACCTTGGAATCTGTCTTTCTTAGAGACGCTCCCGCTTCCACCAAGAGCTGGCAGATGCCACGATGGCACTGGCAGGCTGCCTTGTGCAATGCTGTCTCACCCCTAATCAAAGCAGAGGAAACCAGCAGCAAGTTAAAAGGAAAAATGCAGCATTTTTATGAGGCTCTCTCCTGTTGTCCTTGGCATAGACATGGACACTTTATCCCTTCACATGCATGCCCTCTGGATCATTAGAACAATCTATAATACTCATACGGCAGATGGAGCACTACCAGTTGGTGGGGAAGGGAAAAGAAACTATTGCCTTTGGCTTTGTCTACACTGCAGGGTTTTTGCATAAGAAGCTTTTTGCAGAAGGGATTTTCCGCAAAAACTTCTTGCGCTAAAGCATGTCCACACCTCAAAAATGCATCACAAAACCAATGTGCTTTTGCGCAAGAGTGTCCACACTGCATGGATGCTCTTGTGCAAGAAAGCTCTGATGGCCATTCTGTGAACAGCCATCAGAGCACCTGTGCTCTTTTTGCACAAGAAACCCCTGCAGAGCATCCACACCTGCCTTTTTGTTCAAGAGCTGTAGCGCAAAAAGGAGTTATTCCTTGTGGGGAGAGGAATAACTCTACTGGCAAAAGCCCTCTCTGTCCTGTCTATTTACTGTTTTGGTTTTTTGCGCAAAAAACGCACTTGAGATGTGGATGCTCCACCTTGTAGTGTGGACATAACCTTCATGCATATCCTTCATATTAGTACTCTTACAGAAACAGATCACCACATTTCAGCAAAGGGGTTTAGTTTGGACATTACGAAAAATTTCATAACTGTCAAGGTGGTTAAGCACTACAATAAATTGCCTCGGGAAGTTGTAAAATATCCTTCATCTGAGATATTTTAGAGCAGGTTAGACAAGCATCTGTCAGGGAGGAACTAGATGGTTCTTGGTCCTGCTGTGAGGGCAGAGGACTGGACTCAATGACCTCTTCAGGTCCCTTCCAGTTCCAGTATTGTATGGTTCTATTGGCTGCTGGAAGTTAGCTGCCTTGTTATTAATTTGCTGCAGGGTAAAAAGTGGTGATGTTTGTTTTCTGTTATATCCTAATCAAACTAAATATTATGACACTCTGGCTCCTGCAAGCAGGGACAGATGCATGGAATTCAAAAAGCTTTGGCATGCCAAAGTCAGTGCTTGCACCATATTGTTGCCTGGGCCCTGATTGCCTCTCTTCCCAACCTCTGCCAGTGAGATGTATTCTAGCCCTCTACAGCTGGACATCTGCATTCACTTTAAAGCACTAAACCGTGTTGACTGTCACCATTGCATGGTGCAAAATCACTGGTGCATAAACACATTCCATGCACACCTCTTCATGCCCTCTTCCAGCATACTCTGGAACATTCCCTGCAGTGGAGACTTCAGTGGAGATAAGGCAGTTGCAAGGCACTGGGCTCCCCTCTGACAAGCGTATGCTTACCCAATTATGACCCTTTTGTGGCACCTCAGTATAGATGGCACAGAATGACCAAACAACAATTGGGACAGGGTTTGGGGGTAGTGAGCTCCTATATAAGACAAAGCCCCAAATATCAGGACTGTCCCTATAAAATCGAGGCATCTGTCCACCCTAATCATAGAGCAGCTGTGGCATAACCCCATCAAGTCCAAAATGGTTTGGGTTCTAGTTGAGTGTGTCTACACAGCACAGTTATTTCAAAATAATGGCCGGTATTCAGAAATAACAATGTGAGATCTACATAGCAATTCCGTTATTTCAAAATATTTTTGAAATAACGGATGGCTTATTTCAAAATCTGTAAACCTTATTCCATGAGGAATAGTGCTTATTCCAAAACAGCTATTTTGGAATAGCAGTAGTGTGGACCCTCCCCAGAGTCATTCAAAGTAATTACTCCTCAGTGCCTCCTGGGGCTCTAAATCAAGGTAGCATATCCACATTAGGGAAGCCTGCCTCAGATTAATTTCCAGGCTTCCTTGTAGTATAGAGGTGCTATTTTGGGGGGAAAAAAGGTCCAAAATAGCTTATGTTAAAGTAAGCGTGTGTATAGACATACCCTTTGAGATAAATTCCAATGGAAAGCAAGAATGTCTTGCTGACAGTGCCCTCCCACAAGCGAAGAAGATTTTTATTATCCCATTTGAACCCTCTGGATGGATCAGTGAGTGTCAGGGCCTCCACAAATCTCACCTGTTCTCCTCTAGGAGAATTAGGGCAATTGCAGATGAGGGGAGATATGGAATTTGTTTTGTAGCTTTGGGGAGGGAGTCCTCCCTGGAGTAGGGAATCCTTTTTAAGAAATCTGCCATTCTCGCACATTTTTTATTTTAATTTTTAAATTGCAGCAAGAGCTCTCCAGTGGGGACAAATGGAAGTAAAATGAAACCAAACAACTACGGAAGGAAGTGGGTGTCAAGTGGGTTGCACTTACATTTCACTGTCTGTCATATCCAGTAACTCAGACGGACCTGAGAAAGAAAGTCATGCATGTCATATGCAGTGTAGTTGTTCCCATGTTGGTTTCAGGATATTAGAAAGACAAGGTGAGTGAGGTAATATCTTTAATTGGACTAGCATTTGTTGATGAGAATGACAAATTTTCAAGTTTACATGGGACTTGTAAGTGAGGGTAAGAGCTCAAGATACGTCATGTGGTGTGCTTTACATTCTATGTTTGGCTGATTATTGTTCTACCCAGTAATATTGTGGGTTTGGTTAGAGGCGGGAATGATGAACCTTTCTCTGAAGTTTCACTTCCTGGGGATTCATATCCCCCAATTCAACTTTAACTTTCAGGTTGAATGACTGTGAAAAATATACATCAAATCACGCCTGAAATTACCAAGTATTATACTATTCATAACAAAAGCACAGAATCAAATCCCTCTTTTTTTTTCTGTGGCTGGGAGGACAACAGGACCCAATGGCTTGAACCCCTTCCCACATAAAAAATGTTTTCACTATCAGCAGGGGAAGCCAGGTGGTTTTCTCCTGGAGTTGTAGGTGGCCCCCTTCCTTCCTCCAGCATTCTCATATTGTGGGATGTCAGACAAGCAACCCATTCCCCATACTCTAACACTGTAGAAATCTTTAAAGAATTCCACAGGCCATCCTTTGTTCCAAGTTACCAGCAACTGGCTCCACTGGCTGCTGCTGTTGCAGTGGCCTCTAACCTCATATGGGGACTTATGGCAACTGAGAATTCATCAGCTATGCTCCTGCTGCTTTGTGTGGTAGGGGTCCACTCCCCACACAGCCAGGACAGTGGGTGCTATAGACATAGCACACTCAGTTTCTACTTGGAAAGTCTTCACCATAGTCCAACAATAATGCTTCAGCAGCATCCAACACGCCACATTTTCAAAGTGTTACTCAATATTAAGAAGCAACAATGATGTGGTCCATAGTCAAGCCTTTGACTAGAAAAGTAGTAAGATATGGTGAGAGACCTAGACACATGGAGGAATGAGAAAAAGAGGCAGCTCCTTGAGGCTTTGAAGCATCTGCTTGGGAACATGAAATCTGGACGTTTTCATTCCATTAGAATCAGGCAATGTGAGAAAAAAAATCTAGTGTCTGTCCAAAAAAGTATTCTTTTCAGGCAACAATGCTCTTCAACTGCTGAACTGCTATTTGCCCACTATCAGGGTTTGGTAATACACTGTTGCATGCTGGAAAACACAACTGGAGCTTTGGCCCTTCCAGATACCTACAAACTTCTTTGGGGCATGGAGACAACATTGATTAAGGAGTGGTTTGAGGAGAGAGAAAGACAATAGCTTGGGTATGGAAAGTGTTTGGTAGATGGAGTAAGGACAAAAAGGGGAACTGGGCTAGGGCATCAGGGGAGAAGGGCATGGGGTAATTGGTCTCGGATGATAAAGGAGTGGGATTAAAGCCAGCACATGTTGTGCCATTTTAGTGAAGGGAGTTTATATGATATTATACTGAACTCAGCTATTTATGAGAGCATCCTAACTATCACAGCTAGCTTGAGGGTCAGAGACTGGTAGTAAGCAATTCACAGAACAATATGGTACCCAGAGTGTTGTTTTGTTCATTTATGTTTACAGCTAAAGCTGGAGGCACTGAGTCAAGCATAATATAAAGCTGGACCCTTATTTCTGTTCAGTAGTGCTTCTCTCAAACCATCTCACGCCCTCCTTCTCATTTCCCAACCCCTCTTTTTGGACCTCATTTTTACATCAGTCTCCCTGACGCTGCCAGCCGACCATTCCAAATCCCCTCTGGTGCAGGACAAAAGCTGCACAGATGTGGGAAAGGCTGGTACTGGGAAAGCTAACAGCACTGTCATCTTGGCTCAGTGGGGAGCCGGCTGTTTTACTGGGGACAAGAAGCAAATAAAGAAAAGGGGACTGAGGCAAAGAGAGGGAAAGGACAAAATAACCCAATAGAAATCCGGAAAGGAAATGCATGAGTGAGAGTTCTGTCAAGAAAAACAGCAGGTGGGGAAATAAAAACAAAAGATAGAAATGTGTGGGGAGGTGAAAGAATAAAAAAGACCCAGGAAAATAAAATAGGGAATGGGGTGAGAGGGGAAGTTCACTTGAAAAGAGCTGAAAAGCAAGAACCACTGGAGAGAAGACCAGCTGAGATCACTCTCTGTCTTTAATTTCTAATAGTCTCTCTGTGTGAAATTACTTTTTTCTTCCCTTCCTTCCTCTCTCCCCCTCTTTGCTCCACCAAACCTGCTCTCTGATTTCTCAGGAGGCATAGCACTCTGTTGTGGGGAGGGAGAAGGAGTGAGATGTTCAAAAACTGACAGCTTCCCTTTCGCTGAGCTCATTACAACTTAAAACAAGAAATGGAATGAGCACATTTTCAAGGCATTTCCAAAATATATGGCACCATGCAAGCTAAAATTCCTCAATACATGCAGCAAACTCTACACCTTACAACACGGGCTGTTAAAGCTACACCTAAGCTATGATACCTAGGAGTCCCACAAACATTAACTTGTGTCAATGAAATGCTCTATAAACCTCACTTTATAAAACAGAGGACAAGGGGGACGGACGATTTTCCTTAAAAATATTGGAGGTTCTCAGTGCCTCTGCATATCTAATTTGATTTGGATGGACAAATGCATGACAGATTTGCATAATATCTTGATTTCAGATGTTTTCTGACACTTCCTAATATCTTATGCCCGTAAATCATTTTTGCTAACATCCACCCTTGCCAGAGCCTCCTCACACTTTCTCTATTTGCTGTGGAGACTCCATCTCAGAAGTGCTCCTGGGTTTCCTGTTCTTGTTTCTACTAGCTTCAATTACTATTTTATCTTGAGTCTTCACGTAAGTCTAACCTTGCTGGAATTCAACAGGGATGCACCCATGTGAGATGTGCCTGAGGGAAATACTGGGGATGACACAGGCCAAGTGTGTTCTGGGACGTGGTCTGGAGAGAGGGCTCAGTGAAGGAAAATACAGAATTTAGGGAAGTCCTATGGCCTGTGTTATGCGAGAGATCAAAGTAGATCACTGTGGTCTCTTCTGGTTTTATAATCTTTGAAAAGGGTTCATCTCCCACAGATGGGGGGGGGAGGGTGCAATGGGGGCAACTGCCCCAGGGCCCAAAGATTCAAAGGGGCTGGGAGCTCCTGACTACCACCGTCACTACTGCAGCAGTGGCTAGAGCCCCAGACCCCTCTGAATTGTCGACAGAGAACTGGAGCACCACTCCAAGTGTCTCTGAGAGCAAGAGAGGCGTGCCACCATCTAGGCAGTGTTAAGAGCTGACTGCACTCAGTCCTGCCCCTTCTGCCCTTAGCCCTACCTCTTCTGGGGGTGCAAAGCCAGGCCCCAACACATACATCTTGCCCCAGGGCCCTGCTGAGTCTCCTACAAAATTGTCCTGTTATACTCTTCACTCTTTTCCTCCTTATCTAGGGCCAGCTTCAACACTTCTTCCCAATACCAAATCCCTGGCACCATGCTGCAGGAGGAGAGACTGGTAAGGAGTTGTGAGTAAACTTTTATTTTATCACAATGACACTTAATGGAACATGACTCTCTGTAGGTTTGTATACAATTACTCACCATGTTCTAAGATGTATTTCACAATTTCAAGGTGCCCAGTCTTGGCAGCATGGTGAAGCAAGGAACAGTGGTCAGGTCCCTGGATTAACAGATTAGCTCCTCTCTTACAGCATTCTATGAACTGGAATGCAATGCACAGGAAGAGGACAAGAAAACTGTAGGACATGGTGCCCAGGTAAATAAACATGCAGGTAAATTAACTGTCAACATTTGCTAGCAGGTGGCTAAAAACAACAGTGGTAACTATTAGCAAACCTGTTAGGCCCTTACAATGCAGAACAAAGGTTTTTTTACCTAAATCTAGCAAGGCATACAACACAATGGGTTAACAATGGCAAATCACATTTTATGAGCAGTGGGTAATTAGTGATATACAGTAGGTGAAATATTGCTTGCAAGTAGGGCTGGTCAAATCAATTACATTATCTGATGTTTTTATTTATTTGAACATTTTAATGAAAAAAATCAGTTTTCAACTAAAGATTTCACACACACACACACACACACACACACACACAAAATGTTTGCTTTCTGTGGAACATTTCAACTTTCCAATTAAAAAAAACAAGCATTCCTAAACAAAAAAATCTTCACCAAAATTAAAATATTTTGTTTTGAACTACACAGTGGTTTGTAGGCGATGTGGTTCAGGTGTCTCATGCCCTGAGTCCCTCTGCAGACGTTGGGATACAGAATTTATGGGCATTTGGGTATTTTGGTTATGCTCTGTGCCGATGTGTGGTGGAGTGGATGTTTGTATGAATACTTGTTATTATATTGGTAGTGCTATAGTCTATAAATCTATATGGATTTATGAATGGCCCATGTGTTCAGGATTAGGTACACACTGTAAACTGCTTGGAAATAGTAAATTGCTCCTTTTATTCTCATGTATATTGTTATCCAGTAGGTGCCTTATGCACCAAAAAAAGTATTATTCTTAAATACTCTTGTATACATTTGCAGCTAATATCATGGGGGAAATGGTTTAAGAATTAGTATTGTGTCTTTTCCCAAAATTTCCCTGCCTTGCTCTTTCTACCACAGCCCCAAGAAGACCTGAAATTCTGCAAAGAAACCAACATGCCAGAGATCTGGTGATATGCTGCCTGCTTCCTTATCCATATAGACCCAGCGACTTTCACCTCTGTCCCTCACACATATATATATATTTTCCAACTTGGATCTCGTTGTAAGGGAAGACTCACATAAGGAAGGCAGGAAAGAACAGGTGATTGTTTCTTGAAGTTACTGCAGGCTCTCGGAATTGGTAATATATACTACAAAAATAGTGCTGAGATTGCATTATGACAATGGACGTTATTATGGCATGACACCAAAGTCATGAAAATGATGCCTGGAAAAGATTCAAGGGAGAGTTGTGCCTTGTAAATAAAGTGGCCTTAAGGGATAGGGAAATTGTGCTGTGAAGTTCAGAATAGAATGTGATATGAGGGTAAGGGCAACATTTGACAAATGAATGGTGGTTTCAGTGAATCACCGCTATTATTGTTGCCAGTGAAATAATGAGGGAAGAGGTGTTGAGGAGTGTCTCTGCAGGCAAAGATCAGGAATAAAAATTACCATTTTTCCAGATACTTTCAAGGAAGCCTTTTTCCAGATAATGTTGCAATTGCTAGTCATAATACTCACCCAAATTAAGGTTCACGTTTGCAAACCCCCAACATGTCGGGTACAGCCACACAGCAAAACCTGCTAGTGAGTTTCAGAACCTGGGTCAATTGACTCAGGCTTGTGCTACATGGCTAAAAAAGGATCCCAGGCTGGGGGAGTTATCCCCATTGTCAGATTTCATAGCCCCAACTCCAGACTGAGCAGGGAATCCACAGTGCTATTTTAGCCCCACAAGCCTGAGTGAGTTAATTCGGGCTTTGAGACTCATTGCCATGGAGGTTTTATTTGTTGTGTAAATGTACCCTTATCTCCTGAAGAATAGGGACTGCAATGGTTAGAAGTGAGTTTCACATTTATAGGGTTTAAACACACTCCGTTTGCCCCTTTTCCTCCTCCCTTAGACAGTTACCAATAGCTAACATTTAGGGTTGGTTGGGCCAAGATTTCTTGTGTTTCAAGCCCTTCTGAATGTCAGACGAACTTGGCTCATAGTTAATACTGATATTACAGTGCAGTGGAAAGAGGTTGCTAAGCCAAAGTCCCTTCTTCCTTCCCTGGTAGTTGTCCTGGTGAAAATCAACAATATCTTTACACTATTTGAAAAGAACTGGGGACAACTGGGGTGTTCTGACCAACATTTCACTTTCAGTAAAAATAAGCTTATTGTGTAAGGCTGGGTTGAGGATACCATACTGCTCAGCACTGTATTTGCTACATAATCATTTCACTGTGTAATCAGCCCATAGCTCCAGAAAGTACTTTGGGATTTCTGGAGTATGAAAGGTGCAGTGTAACACCAGATCCTATTCACTTGTATTTCAAGTCATACCTCACTTGGCTGTTGACCCTCTAATATCCAATGTATCCTGCAAGTGGCATTTAGCTATCAATCTTTACAGCAGTATATTTATGCTATTAGGAGTAGACTATAAAATGTAGTCCATCACTGCTGCCAATAGCTGAGAAGCCTAGCTTGCCGCACATACCTTCAGAAGATCACCGTCTATTACTGCTTGTAAAAGTGCTGCAAAGGACAAAAGACAAGACTAACATCAGGGAAAAGAACAGTGCAATTATTATTTACATAGTTCCACTGATTAATACAGTGCTTGACAATATTAAAACTACATAGGAGGCAAGGTCCCAAGCTCCAGCAAGCTTGCATTACAGTGTCACAATCTTAAATCACCAGAGCCACAATCTGGGTATGGCTGCAATGGATCTGACAGTGCAAGTTCCAGCTCAAGTCGACATACCCATGCTAGTGCTAATCGAGCTAGTGTGCTAAAAATAGAAATGTAGCTGCAGCAGCATGAGCAGTGGGGTGGGCTAGCCACCCCAAGTATGACCCTCTCAAAGACCCAAGGTGCATACTCAGAATATCTGCCATTCACGTCATAGCAGCTACACTTCTATTTTTAGTGCATTAACTCGACCAGAACTAGGAGAGATGTCTTCTTAAGCTGGGAATCACCCCTTCGAGGTCCAGTGTACTCATACCCTCTGACAAACATTACAGAATGAGGAAGGGAGATAACTTTTGGTAGTGTTTGACACAATATAGTTTATATCAATATTTTTAAAAGTGACCACTAAGTACGAGTGCTTAAATTTCTGACAGCCCAACTTAAGACATGTTAGGTAATTTACAATATGCTTGCAACACTGGTTTAACTCTGGTCCAACCAAGGTCAACAGTGAAATCTCCATTCATTTAAACAGGAGCACAGATAGGCACCCAGAGTGCCTCTGAATGCTTTTGAAAATATCAATAAAAATTTCAGAGTTGGCCTATCTCCTTTTTACTCCAAATGGAACTGGGATGTCACATCCGTTGAACACTAATAAGGAGATCATTACTAAAAACACAGAGCACTTGACCCAGGTGCTTCCTTGGGTCATGTCAAGAATTATACTGATAGACATTCAGTCCCAGGACTGGATAGCAGCAGACTCAGAAATAAACAAAGGGGACAGCAGAGCATCATCATTAATTTAGAAACCTCTAGACACCCCAACTGAGATTCAGGCTTCCATTCTAGTAGGCACAGCACAAGCACATAGTAAAATAGAGTCCCTGCAGCACTTGCAATCTAAACAGGTGATGGGTGGGAAGGAAAACTGAGGCACAGAGAGGTAAGATACTCAGGGTCATGAAGCATGTCAGTAGAAGCACTAAAACTAGCACCCGGATCTTCTAGTCCAGTGCCCTATCCTACCCAGTAGGCCACATGGCTTCCCACATGCTTTTCCTGACCTGCAGATCAGACTAGATAATCACAGTGATTTTTCTACTGTCACATTTGGGATGTCTAGGCACTTCTGTAATACAAACAAACAATTAGTTGTGAGCTAGTGGGTAGGATATTCCAGAGTTCCATATGTTCTGGTCATAGATGAACTGTAGAACTCACAGGAGAGTTTCTACACACTCTCTGGACAGTAAGTAACCACATATAAGTGAGGGTGTTACACGTTTCCTACCAAAGAACTATTTTCTCCTTCCTTTCCCTCCCCTTAGCATTATGTGCACAGCAAAAATCAATAGTGAACTAATCTCTCTGGGTATGTCTACACTAGCCCCCTACTTCAAACTAGGGAGGCTAATGTAGGCATTCGAAATTGCAAATGAAGCCCAGGATTTAAATTTCCCAGGCTTTATTTGCATGTTCCCGTCCGGTTGCCATTTTGAAATTCCACTAGCCCGAAGAAACTGCCCGCGGCTACACGCGGCAGTGAAACAGTAATTCAAACTAAGTCCTTAGTTCAAATTAACTGTTACTCCTCCTGGAATGAGGTGTACCAGTTAATTTGAACTAAGGACTTAATTCAAATTACTGTTTCACTATCGCATGTAGCCGCAGGCAGTTACTTCAGGTTAGTGGAATTTAAAAATGGCGACAGGATGGGAACATGCAAATAAAGCCTGGGATATTTAAATCCCGGGCTTCATTTGCAATTTTGAATGCCTACATTAGGCTCCCTAGTTCGAACTATGGGGCTAGTGTAGACATACCCTCTGGGAAATATATTTAGGCCCATGAGAGAGAAAAGCATTTAAGTCCATCTTTATATAGAACAGCACTTAAATATGTGCTTAACTTTAGGCATAAATGTAAAGTTAAGGATGTGCTTAGGTGCTGTCTGGATAAGGATGCTTTCCTGAATCAGGGCCTACAGGAGTAAGAAAAACAATACCATAGTATTTTGTCTGGCAAAGAGCACTGGAACTTCCATGATGAGTATTGCACAAGGAGCTCATTATTACTCCAGGCATAACATCACAAATGAGTTAAACCAAGCAGAGGAGAACCCAACAAGTGTTTCTTTCTTTTAAAGCATATGGAAAGCTGTGTGGTATGCAAGAGGTGATTTCTGTTGCCTAAACAATGTCATTTTTGTGCAAGAGATTTGGGGACCCTTTCTCACTTCATCCCCTTGCTGTGTATCTACGGTGAAAGGCAAAACTTCACCATGCAGAGTTCTCAATTTGGAAAGCAGTGCTACAATTTCAGTTCATACTTGTCCAGTAGCACTTAAGGCCATTTCTGAATAAGCACTAATTAACAAACTAGGTACTAGAAATCATCTGGCAGCTGCACAATATTCTGAAGTAAAGGAGGAGACACAAAGCAAAGGCCAAAGTTGGGAAAAGAATCTTGTGCTTCAGACTCAGTTGTCACATATACCAGTTTAAATCCAGTGTTTCTCCACTGTTTTCAGTGGATTTAAACCAGTACAACAGAGCAGAATTTGGTCTTTTGTGTTTATTTGTTGCTCATTTTGTATACAAGTTTTGTCTCCTTGGAAGATTTGATCCCTTCGGAATGGCTGTCTTCTAGGTTACTGGAATCTTCTGTATGACAGTCACAAAAATCCTGTGTCCTCTCCCATAGAATGAAGGTTACTTACTTTAACTGGAAGTTCTTTGAGATGGTGGTCAATATCTGTATTCCACATGTAGGTATGCATGTGCCAGAGTCTGAAGATTTTACCAAGCATTGGCCCACATGTGACAGGAGAGGTCCTTGTGCTTTTGAGAGTATAAGGTGTAATATGGGTCAACACTCCCTCAACTCCTCTTCTCACAGCAAATCCAATCCAGATCCAAATGCAGAGGGAGTAGAGGATGGACAGTGGAATACAGACAGAAACCACACATCTTGAAGAACTTACAGTAAGTAACTCATTTCTTCAAGTGAAGATCCCTATGGCTGTGTCTAGACTGCACCCCTTTTGCAGAAAAAGGGATGCAGATTAGACAAAGTGCAATTGCAAATGAAGCAGGGATTTAAATCTTCCCCGCTTCATTTGCATAAACATGGCTGCCGCTTTTTTCCAGCTCGGGGCTTTGCCAGCAAAAAGCGCCAGTCTAGATGGGGATCTTTCGGAAAATAAAGCCTTTTCTGAAAGATCCCTTATTCCTGATTTTAAGAGGAATCCCCGCTTCATTTGCAATTGCACTGTGTCTAATCTGCATCCCTTTTCCGCAAAAGGGGTGCAGTCTAGACACAGCCAAGGTGTATTCCACATGTGGGTGATTGACAAGCAATACTCAGACTGGAGGCTGATGCAAGGAAGCTGACAACAAAGATGTGTGCGGTATTGTAAAGCCTGTTGAAGCATCCACAGCAAAGACCTGCACTGGAGCATAATGCCTATCTAACATGTATAGCAACAGAATGGCTGCTCTGCAGGTGTCCTGTATTGGGACCTCTTACTGGGATGGCTTGTCCTCGCATGTAACAGACCTTTTTACCTTTGCATGTGAAGGGTATGCATGGAGAGGCATTCCTTTGCATGGTAGCATGCAAGCCAGTTTGTAACATTTGATAATTCAGCAAGAAACTCTCTTAGAAATCATCTGAGAGGATATAGCTTGGCCATGGGATCACTCTGCTATCACAACAAAGAGTCTCAGATTCTTCCTGATGGGCTTGGTTCTTTACAGGTAAAAGGCTGGTGCATCCCTGATATTGAAGGTATGACATGTCTTCTTTTCAGACAAAGTATGGGGTACAGAATAAGGACAGGTAAGTAAATACACTAGTTAAGGATAGAATTCAGGGACGACCCTGTGTATAAATTAAGGGTGAAGGTAAAGGGAAATACCGTAAATGCCATGAGGACTCCCAGATTGCTCACCATCCTTGCCAAATTAAAGGCCACCACAAATACTGCCTTCATGGACAGGTGGGATATGGAACACATTGCTAAGGGTTCAAATGGAAGACCATTACGTTTTGACAGAATATAGTTAAGATCCCATAGTGAGGCTGATTAATGAGAAGGCCTTGAGAAAACCCTTCATGAACTATGTTATAGTTGGGTACATAAAACCAGAGGGAGGAAGGAAAGTACTAAAGGGAGGAAAGTCTGGGTGAGACTGGTTGTACTGCATTCAAATGGGTTCTGGTGGATTCTTTTCTACTGTAAGTATTGCCTGGAAAGGTGATGAACAAGAGCATGCTACTTCTGACTCCCATCCACACAGCAGGCTGCAACAGCCTGACTCTGCCCCTGCCTTGTGTCAGCAGTTCTGGGAAGTAGTGGATTTTGATTGGGCAACAAAATGAGATCAACAAAAGACCTGGGGAAAAATGGTCTGGACTCATCCATCTGTGATTGTTTCTCATCAAATGGAAAGGTGGGAGTCTGGCAGCAGGGATGGTTGTACTGCAGAATGCCCACACGGGGGCAGAGATAGGGACAGCTATAACCTCATTGGGCCAGCAGGGGGCAGGAGTCGAGAAAGGGACAGTTATCTACTATATATATTTCAGAGAATTCATCTGCTTAAGTGTCTGTCTCTGTGTCTGTCTGCATGCATCCCCAAAGCAGCAACCATGGACAGGTGGTTTTCATGTGGCCCCAAACTGCTGTGATGAGAGAGGGCAAGGGTTGTCCTCTCTTCCCAGGGCAGACTGCCCACTGACCCCCTCATCTCCAGCCCCACCCCAGAACAATGATTTAAATGTAGAAAAACAAAACTTCCAGTTACAAATAAAGGGCAAAAATCAAATGAAAATGGTATTAACATGCAATGACAAATTTAAAAAATATGAGAATGATTTTATCTGTTTTGAGCAAAATTTGTTTATCACAGGCACATAACATGATTTATGCAATTGTTTTATCATACCAAATATACCTGCAGGTCTTAAAAAGTCTAAAATAATTTGATAATCAATGAACATTTAAATCAAGTTGTTAATTTTTGACTCTGCCTAAGATAGACATTTGCAATGAGTAACAGAAACATTGTATTATTTTTTTATGTTCTGGTATGTGAAATTACTGCAAATGAAAGCTGCCAGACAGCCAGAACTAGAAACTGAAGTCCTTTGTCCATATAATTGGCAAGCAGAGTTTACATCAGTACTAGATTCCCTCGACAGCCTTCTCAATAGGCCTCAGCCCTCTTTGTTGGGTACTGAGAATAGTTCATATCCCATGCTTCTTTGACCTCATTGTGGAGACTGCCAGTGGCAATGTATTTAGATAGGTACACCCATCTACTATAAAATGGGTAGCCAACAATTCATTTTGTGTATGTTGGCTGTTATGTGGTAATAAAGTTTGGACACTGAGTTAGGCAAATTTTGAACCAATGCCCTAGAAACTTTAGCAGCATTTCATTAATTCATAAATTAAATAAATAAAACATACCAGCAGCATAAAGACAGAAGTCTCCAAAGTGTTAACCAATAATACAGTAAGAAAAGAAAAATTAAAATACTTTAAAGTTCCAATGTCAGATCTTGCCAATATGCACAAGTAACTTTACTCACATGAACAGTCTAACTTACTTCAATTGGACTGCTTGTACAAGTAAAGTTACTACTCACAGCACAAGTGTTTTCCAACTCTGGACCTGCTGAGCACCTCTTTCTAGAGCTGTGGTGTCTAATATGCTTGCCACAAGCCACAATAGTGGCTACTGCTTCAGGACTGGCTGGAAACCATGATTCTAGAGCCTGGCAAATCCACAGCTATCCATGGATTTTTGAATCAGTGGATGCAGATATCTGTGGCTCATTTTTGCAGTGATGGATGCAAATGCAAATTTTGTATCTGGAACCCAGTACATTTGCGGATATTTTCTTTATATCAGTGGGTATCCTTATCCTCAGAGGTGGGTGCAGATACCTGCAGATCATTTTTGCAGAAGTGGATCTCAATCTTTTATCCATGCAGGGCTGTACCTCTATCCACTGGATCCCACCACCTGCCTCCCCACACTACCACTATACATATTAATGTACACCGAGTACCATTCAAATGTATATCATTTTGAAAGCTTCTACCAATCCTAATGGAATTCTTCCTTATAGAACTAGGAAATATTACTGGAAAGGGTAAAAGATTTCAAACCAATGAAAAATTTGAAGTATATCCATTCTATAAGTGGATCATTTTATCCAAGGTTGAAAAGCAACTACTTCTGGAACAAAACTTACCTATTTAACAGTGCATGACAGTATAATACAGCAGCAAATGAAGTCTACCATGTCTAACTACAGAGGGAGTGTAGACAAAAATGAATTACCTAAACTTTGGCTAGAGAATTGGGGTTAATAAAATCCATAACTCTTTTGAAAAGTGCAATTAAATATTTAATGACCTCATATGATCAGTCTTTCCTCTGAGAGGTTGCTTCAACCTCTCAGAGGAAAGACAGTACTCCAACAGTGCAGAAACTTCTAATACCACACTATTGTTCAGCCCTTACTCACTAACATCCTTTCCTGTAGGACATACTGCGGGAACACCTTGAAAGTTTCACAGTGAAATACTGACTTGCATCATCCTTGCAAGGTCTGATGTTCTTATGTTCTTATGTCTGACAGGACTACAGAAGGTAATACAATTCAGGTTTGTGGCAGATATTAAATTTAACTTGGATCATTCTCAACCTAGAATGTATTACTGCTTTTGCAGACTGTGGGAAATTCAGCAATTTTTTAAAAGTTGAATTTTAAAAAATTGAAAACAATTACTGTTTTATATGTTGAAAAGTTAAAATCTGAACTGAATAGTGTCAGAAATGTGGATTTTACCCACCAGTTAATTACCTGTATAAGAAAAGTTTCAGTCTCAATTTTCCATGATTTATAACAATCACTTTACAGCAGTTCTTTATCAGTCAAAACGCTCAGTTTTCCAGAGGGACCCACTTTGGTTGTAATTTAGAAATGTATTCTTTTCCCTGTAAACACAGCCACTTAACTGTAGCAGCTTTGTACATTCAGTAGTTGTAGAGATTCAGATAAGATCAAAACTGAATATGAAATAATGAAATGACATATTATTCAATAATGTGTAGAACTGACTATATCATATTGGGCTTTATGTTACAAATGAAATTACCAAGAAAAATACAAAAAACTCTTGCTAATAATAAATAAAATAGATAAAATGTAGATATGTAATTACATATGTATATTACATATAAAATGTGCAAGAACAAAAATAACCTAAAAGATGCAGGCTGAGAGTTTGCTAGGACTGCTGGATGAAGTTGTTTCTATGTGAGATTCTGTCTACACAGTAGTGTAAGCCCAGGCTTGAATTCAGTCTCAGGCCTAACCGCACTCATGTCCACACATCATTTGGGTTAACCTAGGGCTCAAGCTTAGGGTCTCAGAATGGTGCAAGATTGGAGGGTCTGAGCTCTCTTGCTTTCCTGTGTGCATGCAGCCCAGCCTAACTTGGGTCCCAGAAGTCCTCCATATATATTCCAGAGTTCACTGGGACAACTTCCTTTGACCTCCCTATGCCAGCAATCTGTGGCGGGGTCTATCACACTCTATGGCAAAGGGAAGCCACACATTAACATTAACATCAGGTCAACATTAACCCATTGTCTGCTGAACACCAGTCTATCAGAGAGCCTGGAGGACTTTCAAGGGAGATCAATCAGAAGGCGTTTGCAAAGAGAGCTGCTTCCTGATCACCAGAGCAGTGCCAGATTGTGATGCACACGGTCTGGGTGTCCCTGCACACACAGGCCCAAGGAGGTGTGTCAGAGGAGCGGAGAGTGGACCAGGGACTGAGAAGCTGCCCTGTAAGTGAGGAGGAGTGACAGAGCTAACTCAACATAACCAGGGAAGAGATGACTCCCAACACCTTGGCTGCCCCAAAACTGAGTGGTGAGTGGCAGCCAGCCAAAAAACTTCCCCACCGCTTCCCAGGGGACCCTGGGAGGCTGGATTTGTGACTGGGGGCCAAAGGGAGCTGTGGCTAAGGTCTGAAGGGAACTGACACTCCCTCCCCACCCACCCTGGGAGCTGGCCCAGGCCCCACCACACACTCCCCTGAATATTCCTTCATGCTCTGTTGCAGTGTGGCCCACAATTTGGGAACAACTGTTCTATGGGGCAGGCCTTCAAAGGAGCTAGTTATGCAGTTTATGTAATAATGTGCTCCTTATGGGCACCTGAGTCCCAACGACAGTAAGAAACAGGACAGCAAAATTTTCCCACAGTGTAACACATTCACAGGGCTAAAGTATTGACATGGGGAGGGGTGGTAGGCATTCTGGGATAGGGTTACCTTGGCTCAGATCTGTGTCCTGCACTGTGGAGCATAAGTGCTTACTTCCCCTCTAGCTAGAGAGTGCTTGACCCTCTTCCTGCTTCACCCAAGACCTCACCCCCACTCCACCCCTTCCTCAAGCATCTATCCACCTTGTCTCTTCCTGCCCCTGCACCACCTCTTTCTACCCATCCCCCAAGTGCACCCCATCCCAGTTCATTCCCTCCCTCCAGAGCATCCTGCTCACCGCAAAACACTTGTTTGTGGTGGACAAGAAGCAATGGGGGTCAGGGAGATTGCCACTGCCAGTGAGTGCTGAACGCCCACTATTTTTTCTCTATGGGTGATTCACCCTCTAAGCACCCACACAGTCAGCACCTATGCTGTGTATGCCAGAAGCCTAAATTCAAGCATGAGTCAGAAAATCCTTAATCTAGGTAGAGCAGGGTGAATACTCATCTCTGTGAGCAGACCCACGGACGGGGGGCACAAGGGGCCCAATGATTTTACGGTCCCTGGAGTTCCAACTCTAGCTGTTGTGGCAATGGCAGCGCCCGGAGCCCCAGACCCTTTAAATCACCACTAAAACACCAGGTGGTGCATTCTGGGTAGCTCGGAGAGCTAGGTGGGGCCAGGGTGCTGCAATCTGGGTGGCACTGAAAGTGGCTGCCCTGGCCCCACTCCTTCCAAGGGCCCAGGGTGTCTCTTGGTTCCCCTGCTTGTGAGCATCCCTTTCTTCAGTCCAATATGCCTGCAATCAGGCCTTTTCAGCA